TTTTTTTTTTTTAGTGTTAAAAATCCCAACTCAAGCCTCTCATTAGCAACCATAAAACGATCAGTGCAAGATACTGCAGATGTTCTGTGAAAAATGACGTTTGGATGAAGAGAAAAAGATGGTGGGTAGGAATATAGAGCAACTGAAAAAACTGTGAGAAAAGATGCATTTTTAATCCTTATGGGTAAAAGCAATAGTTGAAGAAAATAAGGTTGTTCCAATATGAAATTTGGGAAAGTGTGTGGGAATCATGGTTTAGAACCATATTGCTTTGAGTACCCTAAACCAAAAATTTAGCAAAACATTGCCAGATTTTCCTTATATATCACAATCTTAGAGAATTTCATTAGCATTTACCAGGTGGCAGAACATAATGAAACCAGAGCACAAGCTTTAAGGGAAGATATGAAAGTTTGAAATGAAGCAAAGCAGAAAAATCTAAGATCCATATGAACATTTGGAGGCAGAAGAAATCCCAATGGCTTAAAAGAAATGGTATTGAAGAAGTGAGAGCAAGCAGAAGTCTGCACTGTCACACTGCAGAGGATTTCTTACTTATAGCTGTTCAAGAGACTTTCCTGCCTAGACCCTGCATTATTATTTTATAACCAGGATCCTTGACCACATGTAGATGTGATACCTGAATTTACAGCAAGGGAATTCAGAAAAATCTGGTCATGTAAGAAGTGGGCTGCTGTGGCCAGGAGACAAATTCTTTTAGTAGTTGAAATACATGAACATTATTAAAAGGTGGTGCTTGTAATTATATCCAAACCAGGGCTGAACATAAGAAGTGGCATTCAGCTAACTTACACAGGAAACATCCCCATTGGAGCTGGTCACCAGAGTCTGTCCCTACATTTACAGAGGAGAAATGGCCTCTCTAGATACTTCTGACAAGCTTGAGCTCTCTACTTCGAGGCAGCATAAGTTGAACACTAGAAGCACACATTACTATCAACTAAGTCTTGTTGAGATTTAAGATTTTGTCACACAGCACAAAAATTTGCCAAAATGATGCCACATGCAAATGTTTGGCCTGCCTATGATGTATGTAGTCCTCATAACAGCTTCAAAAGCACTGCTATGGTTTGGAATGGACTACAGGTAAATTACGATGTGATCTGCCCCTACAATTTTGAAGAAAGGGATGGTGAAAAGGAAACATGATAAGCACCTGTATATAAAAAATATAAAGGTTCTCAGCTAGATCTACATTCTTTTGGCTTCAAATGAAAGCTGATAGATAAGAAAATCTCAAAAAATGGGAAATATTAAAATCAGTAAAAATTTACCAAACAAAACAGTCTGTGAAGCTCATCCAAGAAACATTAGATTCATGATCATGCATAGTCATAAATTACTTCTTCTTTTCTGGAAAATTATATATTGTTTTTGGAATGCTGTTTTTAATACACCAAAATATCATAACTAGAAAACATGATTATTAAATACGTGATTTCTAAAACTAAGAATATTTACAAGAAAAACATATTACTTGTGACAGTGACAAAAGAGCACTGCCATTTGGTGATCTGCAACTTATGCATACAACAAAGTAATCAGATTTTAGGCATAATGCTGCAAACAGGGACAATGCAATGTGCTGTGAAAAATTATGTAAAATAATAGCAAGGATAATTTTAAAAAGCTGAAGAACCACATTCAGGTACTTATTTGGTATATGTGATTTACACACTTGAAGTCTGGACTGCCACCTGCTGAAACACTGTTTAACAGTAAGCTTCGGCTTAATAGGACTCAATTTTCATTTCAAACTTTGATTTTTACCCTATTTCTTTCTTCTAACCTTTGGTACCTGTGTCCCACGAATCCCACAGTATGGGCAGAAGCAGTAAGGGGAAGATGTACCTTGTTATCATCTTTGCTGAGCAAGGGAGACTATGAAGAAAAGATGACATCTGTGTAACATCTTCCAGAGAAAGAGGACACAAGAAGACTTGCAGGCTTCACAAACACCAAGATCCAAAACAGAAGAGGCTGGGCTGCATAGCATCAATGCAAAATAAAATTCATGGAGTGCTCTGAATCGCAGTTGCAATTGCAAACGCTCAGGAAGGATTTCTGAGATGTGAGTTGATTAACTTGTGGGTGTTTGCAGTTGGTGTTTATCCTTTGGAAATGGTGCAGCAGGAGAACAGCTGACCTTCCAAGGTGGATTGCACCTATGTATACAAACACAGGCTTTTCATCCCTTCACACCCCGGATTACTGCAGGAAGGGGCAGGAGCCTCGCTCTGTGGTCTGTGTGGTTTTTGGGACCGCAAATTCAGCAATTGCTTCTCTGAGGTGCATTCATGCACTTCCTGCAACAAGGGTTTCAGACCACACTCCCTGCTCAGATTTGACCTTAAAATTATTCATTGTCGATTGTGATCTCCTGGCTCACTCTCTCACCCTATTTTTACTGAGCTTTTGTCCTGCATGATCTTTTGTTTTCATGGGTGGGCTCTCACTTGGTGCACTGGATCTTGCAGCATGAGCTGTGCCACAGGTAGCAATCAAACAAGCAGCACCCCTTGTCCATTAATATCAGCACTTAGGATTTTTAGTGACCAAGAAAAAGCTCTTTCACCACCGTGAGACTCCTTTTCTTGTATATCAAATACATGGGTGCAATCACCTGAACATACCTGCCCTGAGCCTGTTTCATGGGGAAGGAAAACAAGAGCGAGCATTATCCCCTTGCTCAATGGAGCACCGGTACCCTCTAGTGGTAAAACCGCCGGCATTTTTAGGCAAAAGATGACGATTTCATTACTAATATCTTCTGTCTTCCTCTTGGACAAAAATCTGTACATCATCTTTAATTGACAGTGGTGTTCTGTGGGATGATATGGGAAATTCACGCCTTTAAGTAGCTAATGATGTAATGCAATGATGTAATTTCCTTGGACTGTTTTCACTGTGTTTCATGTTTCATTAAATCATTTAAATGGTGCTTGTGAGCTGATGGGTGACTGAATTTTCACATGAATAAATGTGAAATAAAGAAATGTCTGTAATGGAAAGTACCAAGAGGCAGCTGCCCAAGGCTTTAAGTGAAGTGTTAGTGATGGTACCACTGTAATGGCTGTAATGTGGCAGATCCAGAGCTTATAGATAATCAAAGGAATCGTTGTCTTGGTTGAGGTTTCACTAGTTTGCTCATGGAGTTGCAGAATAGCTGGATTAGGAGTCTTGGCAAGCCAGAGAGCCACTGGTTTCATAACTGCAAGGTGGGGACAACAAGGTATGGTGTGACAAATCAAGAGGACATAACAGGAGCATCACAGAATTGCTAAGTGAAGGCCAAATGTCTTGAGCAGTGAGAGTGTGGTTGTAGGTAGATGGGAAAAGACACATTCTGGACCCCACAGCTGTTTCCTACCAACTACATAACTCATGCTATGGAGCGTGTCTGGTGAGTGGAAAAAGGCGAAACTTGTCAAAGAAATTCAAAATTATTTAGCATGAGAAAACACATTTATTTCTGTTCTAAACTTGCTCAGAATGGCTGATCTGAAATTTTCCTGGCATAAGAAACTTCAGTCTGAACAGCTAATTTTAGGAAACCACAGCAAATTAATCCTTCAGGGTTTGCTGTGAAGTGTTTCACTGTTGTCTTTTCCTTGCATGGAGGTTGCTAGTGGATGGAAATTCCCCCCCAAAAGGCAGCGGGAGTTATCTGGAGCTCAACTCTGCCATTTACTCCACCTGCAAAGAAGTTGCAAATTCTCAGAACACAGTTCTCTAGCCCTAGGTTTTTTCATACATGAAGGAAATGAAAACCCAAGGCAGGTTAGAGGACACGTGTCTCTGAGCTGAGCCCTTGCACGCTGCCTCCACACTGCAGGACGTGGCTCTGCTCATTTCACCCAGTGAAACAAAGTGGAGTTTTACTCAGCAAGAAATGAAATCACACTACAGGTATCAGATTGAAATTCAAAATAGGTAGTACAGACTAAACACAGCTTGATTCCTCACAAGCTTTTTCCCCTGGATGATTTCAGTACCTTATGCCTATCATTTCTTTGATGTACCATAGCTATGAAAGCAGGGGATCCAGAGCTTTTATGGAGACATCCTTCCAATTTATTTACTAAACTCAAAGTATTTCTGTGGCCACCTGCCCCTCTGTTCCTGTGGATCAGATTTTGGAAGCACATTAAAATGCCCATGATCTGGGTACACAAAGTACCAGAATATGAGCTTTGCCCACTCTGCTTCACAGTAATCACTTATGAGACTCCCTTGATTTTTTTACCTCTTTGTATATAAAGGGTTTTGAGTAGCTTGACTCTGGGAATAGCAGATCAACGAGATTGAATTGGATTTACCAGCAGTGGGAGTTAAATTTTTGGTTAAATCCCTGCGTTCTGGAGCCTCACAGGCAGTCTGATTTATCATGCACTGTGTTTACTGGAGAGCAGAAATTTACCCTCTCCTATTTCTCTTTCAAACCTTTTCATCTTTTCATCTGCATAGAAATGAGTGCAAAAAGAAAAAGAAAAAAAAAAAAAAAGAAATGCAGTGCAGTTTTCAAGGGAGGGTTTGTCCTGGTGCTGCATTGTAAATAAGCGTTTACTGTTTCCCAGGTCTCAGGAAGCGCCAAGTAGATTCATTCCACTGTAACTGTAGTGCCATTCTGGGAAGCACACAGCACATCAGCTTGGAATAGACCTCCTGAGCAATACAGTCCTCTGCCATATCATACAATTCATTCCAAAAATGCAGTATCACCCATTTCATTCTTGAAGAATGCAAATGAGTTAATTAATGCATGTCTGTTCCAGGAATATTCTGACTTAGGATCTTGCCATCACTGCTAGTTTCCCCTGCTCCATCCTGGTTGAGAATCCTTGGTCTTCATGAAAGCCCACCTCTCTGCTCACAAATAGGAAGGGGCCATCCCCTGATGGATTTTATAGGCAATATCTCCAATTCAAATACAGAGAGGGGTAACAGTACTGTGTTTTTTTTCTTTTATTTCATTCCAGGTTTCTGATTGTCTTGGGGTGTTTGATCTTAGCTGTCCTGACAACTTTCAAGGAGTATGAAACTGTTTCGGGAGACTGGCTCCTCTTGCTGGTAAGTAGACTGTGGCTTGTTCTTCACTCCAGTAACGCCCTTGAATTGAAATCAGCCCCATCAGCAGGGATGGAAGCTTACTCCCAGCTCTGCATGTCATAAGGTTTCTGCCGTTGGTCCTGGAACAGTGACTATACACTTACCTACTGAAGAGTTCCTAGTCCATCGTCAACAACAACTGATTAAAAAGAAAGTGAGGTTCCTGAGTAAAAAGAAAATGAGAGGAAAAATACCAGCCTGAGGCTTTTAAGCATTTGCCTAACAGTCCTTCCATCAAATTCCTATTAACCATGCCAGACTTAAGCACATTTGAAAACTATTTTTTGGGGGGATCTTTCAAATATTCTGATTCTCTCTGTAGTAGTCTACTAATCCCAGTATTTTTTTCAAGGGAGGTCATCAGAATCGAACTCATGCTTGTGCCCAATAGCAGCATAACTAAAATTGTTGCAGGCAGTGCCTCTGAGACAAAATGTATTTGCAGCAAATACATTCCTTTCTCTATGTATTCCAGAATGCTGGTTCTATAAATGTTGAAGTTCATGCTCAAGACTTTATTTCTGTAGGCCTCCCATTTGGCAGAAGAGTTAAAAAATAGAGAACACTCCCCCACACTAAGTACAAACATGGCATACTCAAAGTTTTATGAAAATGACCTTAACAGTGAACTTCCTCTGCTCTCATAGCTGTCATGAAATAGAGAGCATGCCATCTCGCTTAACCTGTCCTTGTCTAAAGTATCCCCAGCAAAATTAATTTTAGGGTTTCAATTTCTCTTTCCCCTTGTACCCCCAGAGGCATGTAGATCTGAGCAACAGCAAAATGCCATAAGGAATGAAAAGTGAATTCCCCTTGCACGTTTCTTCTCAAAAAGTGCCTATATGAAAACACCCTCATCCCTTAGGGAGTGTGAAACTTGCTTTTGGTCTCTGTTACCCTGCTTATAGCCCATCTTTCACCTTTGAAAAAGCCTGAGGTTATTTTTTTTCCTCCTGTGCTTGTTTGTATGTGGTTCTCAGCAGTTTTCAGAAGCATCCAGGAGCTGTGGGTTTGAGCATGAGGAAAAGTGCCCCTTTCCTCCTTGCCAGCTCTTCACAGAGAGGAAGAGTAACCACATGCCCAGGCTGCCCTTGGCCCATCTCTGCTGAGCACCTCAGAGAAGCCCTCTCCTCCCCATTCCCTCCCCATACTTAGAAAGGTTATTGAGCAAGGTGGAAAATCCCATTTTTTTGTCCACCAAAATTTAGGGGAACAATACATGTCTTAAATTTGTCCTATATATGTCTTTATCATTGCCTTAAATTTATGACCATATGAATATACTGTGTCCTGCCCTGTCTCTATAGATTTGGCTGCATGAATGAGCTGCTGGTTGGTGGTCCTGGGTTATGGGTATAGAATGCACTGAGGACTTTGCAGTCACCACTCACATATGCCTCCCCCTTTTGTGTGGAACAAGAGGTCTTTCTGTGAAGTAATTGCCCTTACATTAAGGCAGGGTGAGCACTTCACATTTACCCAACAGCAGGGGCAAATCCTCCTGCAGACTATTTAGAAGGCTGGAAAGGCATTTCCCACTTTGCCTTGCCTCTTTCATCAACCTGTATTCTTCCTCCTTTTTTTTTCCTCTGCCTCTCACACATGTCCTAACACTTGTGCCTCATTTCCTTCAGCTATTTCCTTTGGGACCTTCTGTCCAGAATTACTGCAAAACTTGTTATGAGACTAACAACGTAGTTTGTGTCTTGATACAGGAAACTTTTGCCATTTTCATCTTTGGAGCAGAGTTTGCCTTAAGAATCTGGGCTGCTGGCTGTTGCTGTCGCTACAAAGGATGGAGGGGGAGACTCAAATTTGCCAGGAAGCCTTTGTGCATGCTGGGTAGGCACAAGCTCTCTACTATTGTTTTCTCTGATATGTCCTTTTCTTCTAAGCCAGTTTGGGGAATGTCAAAGAACTGGTGAATGGCAGTGCAAAGAGCACTGAAATCAGATCTGCCCTTTATGCTAAGACTTGTGTCCTGCTTGGAGTAGTTTTTTGAAGTAGCCAGCAATAATTAATTTGAGAGACACTTGGGTATCTAGTCAGTGAGAAAAAAAATGAATCCTTCTACTCTTCAAACACATTGTCCTTATCCTGAGTCCCACTGCATTTTTCTTAAACTCTTCCCCAAAAAGACTCTCTCTGCCTTCAGTTTCAAACGACTTCAGATCCCAACCCTATCCCATCTTCCTCAGCCCTCTCATGTTTGTGTTGTGGTTTACCATTGTATTGTCAGTCTGCATTTGCAAACAGGTATCTTTGTGATTTCACCTATGTTGTCTTTCAGGCTTGGAAGGCACTGCCTATTACTATCCATAAAACTACTCATTATTCATGTTTGAATCCCCTCCTGCAACTCCTCATCATAACCACAAACCAAACAGACAGTATTTAGGAGCTCACTCTGCCCCAAGCACCTGTCTTACACATCCCCATTCATTCATTTGTACAGCACACAGCACTCTGGGGAGCTGTGGTGCCACATGAATGCACACCTCTCTTCCCTCGCCCTCCTTTTGTTCACCTCTTGGCTCTAAATTGTAGACAAAATTGTAACAAATTTTGTTTGTGCATCTGTGTTATCCTCAATTTGGTAGTGCTCCTTTATATTCTACTGTTGTATAGATACATCTTATACTTCTAATAGGTTTGTGAAGTCAGAAGAGTGTGGTGTGAGCAAATGGGATTGACCCTGTCTCATGCCTTCTTGGTAAAATTGCCATCTCACTTCTGAGAATGGATCTTCATTGATATCTGGGTAAAGAACAGAAAATATTTTGGACTTATTGATATCATCTTTCATTTATCACTGCTGCAAATTTGTTTTGAGAATGATTGGAAGTGAATAAATCTGAAATCCCCTCTTTTTGGCTGGAAATAGAATATAAAGACAATTTATATTATTATAAATTTTATGTTATTCTAAATTATATATTATTATTTATATATGCTCAGAGCATGTTTGAAGCTGTTTGATACCACTTTCTTCTTGTATATGTATAGGATAAAAAGCAAGAGGGAAACAAGGAAAAGAGAAAAAAAAAAAGAAGTCAATGCGATTTTGCGTTTCAAACCTCTTCAGCTGATCAGCAAATTGGTCCTGTGAGCACTTAACAAAAAAAAAAAATTGCACTAGCTTGGAGATTTTAATGGGAAAACTCAGCCAAAAGAATCAAATACTAGGTGTACCATCAAAACTGAATTTCCCATCTGCTGACCTGTTCGCTGTGGTGTTCCTGTAGTGCAGATGAATAAAAGTCTGTTTTTCTGTCAGCCTTAGGACACTGTTTCTGTGCATCCCTAAGCAGGCTCAGACAGAGTCTCAAGTCCAGTGCATCAATCTGTAAACAGATGCTGAGGCTTTCCGGTAGGTTTTGTTTGTGATGCTGCCTGTGTGGCAGGTGCAGATATCTGTTCAATTAGAAAGAGCAGGCATTCCCAGGCAGCTTCAAAATTTGCCGTGGGAAATTTTCAGCACAACCAGATGGGATTAAGAAGCAGGTGATAGGGCCACTCTCGTTGGCAGGCTTTGTTCTTTTCACCTTGCAGATATCTTTGTGCTGATTGCTTCAGTGCCAGTGGTTGCTGTTGGGAACCAGGGCAATGTTCTGGCCACGTCTCTCAGAAGCCTCCGCTTCCTTCAGATCCTACGGATGCTCCGAATGGACAGGCGGGGCGGCACCTGGAAACTTTTAGGATCAGCTATTTGTGCACATAGCAAAGTAAGTGAGGAGCTTGCAGGGCTCAGCTGGGGCTTGGGGAGAAAGATTGAAGGGAAAGAGAAGGGATACACAGGTACAGCAATGCCTTGGGTTTATGTTTAGTAGTTCCAAAAATAGTTCTGTTCTTTAAGTTTTATTCCCTCTTCCTTTCTCTGAACCATTTCTACCCCTTGTTTTACCCTTCTCCACTCAATAGTGGTGCTGGGAAGGGAGAGTATGTTCATTCCCAGACATTACTACAGGAATTTTGCCTTTACACTGAATGAGAGCAGGGACAACCCTTTAATGGTGAAAGATGCTGAAATTTTTGACAGAAATGCCTGCGAAGCTGCAATGTGTTTGTAGTGGCTTCTCAGACTTGTCTGATCAACAGATGGAGCAGGACTCCAAAGGGATGGCAAGAGGCTGATTAGCAGAAATGTGGTTTCAGAGTGAGCTACTGGTAAAATTTTTCTGTGTAAGCATGGGTCAGACAATACAGAAATGCACACAGTGTGAACCCAGACAGGGAAAATTTCTAAAATCTTCTTTCTTTGGTCTAACTTGATGTTGTAGTCAGACACACTCTGTCTTGCACCAGACAGATACTTGTGTTCTTGAATTTTCACAAAACATTATTACAAGTTAAAAACTATCTGCATAATAATCCTCTAGATAAGATTTCTCATCTGCAAAGGGTGTAAAAAAATTACATAGACTCTGTGCTACATACTGCTATTTCTTATCCATGAGTGACATTCCTGACATTTTAGGGGGGGTTGAAAATTAAAATACCAGCTGGTACAGCATAATTAGACTTTGCTTCTGCATGGTGGCTGATGGGGATACCCACCCTGCTTCATTGCTTACCAGCTTCTGTTTCTTCCCTGTATAAACTTGCTACAAGGCAGGTGGCACATAAACAGAGTCAAAAATGTTTCCTGGGAAACAGATCATGGAAGAAGTTTGTACCAAAGACATTGTTTAGAAATCGTTTAAGGCTTCACTTTGTGGAATTTCATTCACATGCTGCTTGTTTGGTTGCCCACCACCACCCTTTGGATCTCAGCTGGCTCAGAGAGATAAGAAGTGGTTTAAGAACTTTGCTTTATTGGAGACAATGAAGAAACAATTTTGCTAACAGTTTTCTTCTGTGATTGCACACCAGAAATTAGCTGAGAAAGTTCACTTATCTCAAGATTCAATTTTGAAGTTCCCAGCTTGAATGCTTTATTTTTTTTTCTTCCAATACAGTTCTCATAAAATTAAGTGGAATATTGATTTTTTTTACCCATTTTTGAAGAACTTCACCAATTTTTTCTCTTCTTTGTTTCAGACATTGTTGGGATTTTAACTTGGGTGGCTTCATCTCCCACCTCAGTAGGATTAGACACATACTCCAGTCACTCTCCCTAAAACAGGGAGGCTCAGGTTTTGTTTTCACACAGATACTTTTCAAGGTCTGTTCTTATTGCATGAATTCATGTTGAAAACATCATTCATTTATGATGGAATCCACTTTGATATGGCTAAAGAGAAGGAACTGCATCCTGCTGTCTTGGGGTATCTGTTGGTAGGTTTCGGCCCGTGAGGAAAAGAACACACACACACACATGAACAGAGTGATGAGACAAGGGGTGTCAGTCTGCTCAGTGTAGCAGGCAGCCTTTATTGAGCTCGCTCGCCTCTACTTTCTCACACACATAATATAAACATATTCTTGCAAAAACACTTAGGAATGTAACACCTGCACACAGTCAAACAGCTTTGTCCTTGTATTCCTTAAAACTCAAGGCTGTGTCCATGGGAACATCCAATTAGCCTTACTGTTCTCATGGGAAATGGCCTAACACTATCCAATATTTCAAACTCCTCAAGCTTCAGGGGTTTCGTGGAGCTGCCACTTCCCCCCACATCCTGCAGCTGTGGCTCTCTGGAGGGAGGGAGAGGGCAGAGCTGTGATTTGCTGGCTAAGACTGACCAAGCCCAGGGGCAGAAGAGATGTGAAGAGCCAAGGTCAGGGACAGAGCCCTGCAGCAGCTGTGTCACGGGTGCAGCTACGTCCTTAGCCCAGCTTTATGCAGAACTACAACTGCAGATTACTCCGAGCTGTTCCCCAGGAAGATGCCATGTAAGGGCTAATTCTTGTAAATCTCTGCATTATTTCCCACTGAGTGCTGAGCTGGGCTGGGCAGGGTCTGTGACCAGGCCAGCAGTGACAGCTCTGCTGTTACCCTGTGTGCTTCTCTCTCCTCCTGATGTTTACTCTACCACTGTGGGTATTGAGGATGTTTTCAGCCCCTTCATGTCCATCTGTTTCTTTTGCAGGAACTCATCACTGCTTGGTACATTGGGTTCTTGACGCTCATCTTATCCTCGTTTCTTGTTTATCTGGTTGAAAAAGATGTTCCTGAAAAAGATGCTAATGGAGTGGAGATGAAAGAAGAGTTTGAAACCTATGCAGATGCACTGTGGTGGGGGCTGGTAAGTGACTCCAAAAGTACCTTATCCCCTTCTTAAAAACTTTATACCCAAGAAGAGATAAGATGTTGATGTTAGAAATTATAGTGCAAGAGCTGCTATATTTGGGTAAAAGGCATGTTACCCGTGTAAAATTACCAAAGTAGGGGTGCCCCTACAACCAAATAACAGAACTTACATCCTTGTTGATTTTCAGGTTGATTTTCAGTCAGACAAAGGCTCTTAGGTGCTTAAGCCTCCTTCAGAAATCAGTCTGTGCTCCTGGCTTCTGGGATCCCTCTCTTTTAGAGGAGTATCTCTTCAGATACAACTGCACTATGCCTGTGGAAGACCTGGCTCTCATGAAAGCAGTGTCTTACCTGTGGGAGCTGCATCCCTCAGAAGATGGCAGAACCAGAGCTGCCAATGGATGGTTCTGTTGGACAAGCAAAGAGCACCAAAAGTTTGGGCAATGAGGTAGACACTCATGGAAGTTTGGTTCTTAAGGAGCCAGTGACTGAAGATGTCTCTGGATTCAGATGCAGGAAGTAGAAAAATATTTCTGGAAAGGCTAACTCAGCAATTCTCATGTCTTACATGTATTCCACAAAAATCAGGCAGTAGGATGCTGAACAAGAGGAACCTTTGATACATCTGTTCTTGTCTCTTCTGATGAAGAGAGGACTATTGGTTTAGATCACTAACTTATTTGATCACAAAATATTCCTGTCATTCCAGCATTCATGTTGCTTTGCTACTGAGAGAAGCCTATGTTATGCTGTAACTAAAATTCAGCAGCTTATTTTTTATTTAATGTAGTTCACTCATAAATGGTAAGATATTTCCCCACACCTCCCCAACCTCCCCATTATTAGTCAAAAGGTACTGTTGCATAGAACACCTGGATGTTTTCATATCCTTTCATATCCAGGACATTTAGACAGAGTCTCACTGGTGAGAAGAGGTACACAACTGGAAATTAACAACTGAGAAGGAAAGGAGTAAGTTTTCACAAAGTCGTCTTTGTTTTAAAAAGACCAGGAGCTCACACAGAGCTCGTCCTGACTGGTTGTTAAATGCCTGTAAGTTGTTAACTGGCAAGTCCCATTCCTAACTGTGCACTGATGGTGGGTAGGAAACTCACTGTACAGGCAATGTCCCATGAAGTTCCCTGGCAGCAAATGCATCCTAGAGAGGCAGCTGCTTCAGGACTAAATGCATTCTCCGTGCAATGCCTTGGGACTGTGACACCATTAAAGAAAATTGGTTGGCCCATCATCAAGTTCCTATTTCAAGGAGCTGTGCATGAGCACCCACAGAGCAAAGTGAGTTATGAAGGTTTTGTGGTGACATTTAAAGCAGAGCTGTTGTTTTTTTTTTCTCATGGGGAGTCCTGCTCATTCTGCCCACAGATCACCCTGGCTACGATTGGGTACGGCGACAAGACCCCCAAAACATGGGAGGGACGGCTGATTGCAGCTACCTTCTCTCTCATTGGAGTGTCTTTCTTTGCTCTTCCTGCAGTAAGTACCTTCCCCCTCCTCTCTTAGACATAGCCCAGTGCTTTGGACTTGCAAAACAAACCATAAAGCGAACAAAACTTTCTGTAGAACCAAATCCCCTTTTAAGAATTAATTCAGAGACCTGAGGGTGTCTATATCAGTAAACTAAACCTGTTTCTTCCCAACTTTGCATAGAACTTATTGGGAGTAATATACCACCCCAATACTCATCAAATCATGGGTGGGCATTGCTGGCTGGCACACAAACAGAATTAATCCAGCAAGTGAACAGTCTGGGAAATCACAAGGTAGTTCATGAGACTGTACCCTGGCACATGTTAGTTTACTGGTATTGAGATAGGCCCCACAGGACATATTTTTGAAGGATTTACAGCCTATTGTTTTGATAATTAGAATTGGGCCCATCTTACCCAGCCTTGTATTTCCCTTACCAGCAAAGTCCTCAGGTGAGAATGAGACAAGATCTGAGTGGGATGGTCTGAATAGCAACAGAAAGTGTCCCAAGCCCAGATTTCAGGATACTTTTCCTTTACATCGGAACCTGGAAAGACTTTCACAGAGGATGGCAAGTCCTGCACACCCAAATCCAGAGTACGGTTTAGCATAGCTCTTGTATCACACAAACACAGTTTCACTCTCCCCTGAAGTAATACACCAGATGGACACCTCCATGTGAAGTAATACACCACATGGACACCTCCATGTGAAGTAATACACCACATGGACACCTCCAGCTTGGAAAGGCAGTAGACATTGAAAAAGCCTGTTGAGGACCTTAAAATGGTCTGTGGTCCTTGAGAAGACCATGAACATCTCCTGTCTTATGAGTGGAGCAGTAGAAAAGACATGCTGTCTCAATCTCCCTCCACAGACCTGTTTTTTCTCATCATTAATCCATTTTTTTCTAAGAATTCTCTAAAATCTTGTATCACTCTGTGTTTTCAGGGCATTCTGGGCTCAGGGCTGGCACTGAAGGTCCAGGAGCAACATCGTCAAAAACATTTTGAGAAAAGAAGAAAGCCAGCAGCTGAACTCATTCAGGTTTGCAGCCACTTATGCTTTCCTTGAGAAAGTGTTGTGTATGAAAACTGGTCAATCATGTTAAAATGGGCCACCACTTCTCCCCCACCCAAATTCTCATTTCCCATTCCAGGATGTGGGAAGCTGTGTTTGTTAGTTTTTTCACACTGAGCTAGATAATTCAGAGGTCCTTGCAGTTTTTGAGGAATTGTTCAACTCTCAGAATATCTTTCAGAAGAACGGCTTTAAAGAAAGAGTCTCATCTGCTAGGTTCTGGAAACCAACTAACTTCTGCATCAGTGCCACAAAATCACAGAAAACAAGCTGTTGAAAACATATTCTTTCTAAAATACAGGTTTTGTTAGTTCCCTTGAGAGAGTGCTTTTATGTGCAAACAAAGTTACGTTGGTATTGATGTGAAAACAGCAATAAAAGTAACACAATGGACAGCGACTGTTTCAATCAAGGCAAATAAATAGAATGTATGGTTTTAAAAAACTAAAACACACTCTGGATCTTCTGTTATGTCACTGAATGATCTGAGAATTCACTGGGAAGAGAGTCCTTAGCTCACCTGGATTTCAGTTACGGCCTTTATTATTAATTCAGAAAATTAAGCTTAAAAACACTAGTCTTGATGCTGACAAGTTTGACAGGAGTTACTCTTACTAGATATAGAGCGCATCCTGATGGCAGTGAAGGAAATAGAAGCATTTTTACAGAGGGATAAAGAAAGTTTCTGTGATATCAGATGAAAGTGTTGGTGCTCAGAACTGCCCAGGATCAAACCAGTCCTCAGGATAAACAGACTGAGTGGCATATTATGCTGTTCTCATTAAAAACACTCTTTAGCAAACAGAAGGATCTGCAGTCATGAGTTGTGAATGGAATTCATATTTTAAATCAAAGCATCTTCCCTTAGCAGGTAGTTTGCTTAGCTACAGTGGGTTTTGGGTATGTGCTTAAAGAATTTTCTTTGGAGAATTTTGATTGGAGCTAAATGCTGAAATAGAAGATCGCTCAGCAAAATTTTCTCTGGTGATACATTAGGTAATAAACTACCTTAAACACTTCCAGAATTACTGCACAAGTCCAGCAGCACTTGAAGCTCTTTAAGCTCTTTCTCTCTCAGAAAGGAGAATAAAGCCAGTTTAGTCTAATGTAATGTCATGTTGATATTGGTGGTTCTCTCCTTGTTCTGTCTCCTTTACAGCCCTCCCAGATCATAATCCAGTGTCAGTAGTTGTACCATATAGTGCTACTCATTTGGTATGGCTGATCAGTAATTAATTTCTAGATAGTCACTCAGGTGCATTGTTGTGTTCTTTCAAAGTCTGGCTGCAGTCAGCCTGGGCAATATGTTTACTGGACACTAATTATTTCCTCTCCCCTGTAATTCAGGCTGCCTGGAGATACTATGCTACTAACCCCAACAGGATTGATTTAGTTGCTACCTGGAGGTTTTATGAATCAATTGTATCATTTCCATTTTTCAGGTAAGTGCATTGTCCGCCTCTCCGTCATCATTCTCTGTGAAGTATCAGTCAGGACAGGAAACACAGACTTTATACATATCAATGAGGCTTTTGTAGGTAACAGGTATTTCCCAGAAAACTGTTCTGAGGAAAAGGAAACTCTTCTGAGGTTGTGGTTTTATTTCATTCACCACTTCTGAGTTTATTGGAAAGCATTCCACACATAAAGACATTCAGATATAATGGATGCTCATGTGTTTATGGCCATGAGTCTGTCTGATTCTCGTTTTTCTTGCCTGTCAAACAGGCGCCTTTCTCACACTCAGGTCTTAAATTTTAAAATGTTGTTTAAAAACCTATATGGCCCTATGAAAGCCGAGATTTTAGCAATAGACTATGAGCTGCTAATAATAGAAATTACTTATCCAAGTTAATGTTTTAAGCTTTCATTCTAGACTTGCTGTGGGGCCTCATTCCGAAAATAAAGTACCCTTAAACTAGTCCTTGGCTCAAACAGAGCTCTCCACATGTAAGTTGTGTTCACTGCACTAATACTGCAGCTCCAGCTGTTGCTCAAAACTGACCTAAAAAGTTTCAGGCTCCTGCCTTCACAAAGTGCAAATTGCAAATACTAAATCTTTATTTTATTTGCAATATATTTCTTTAGGATCAATTTCATATACTTCAAAAAGAAAATCTCTAAAAATAAACCCACCGTAAGTGTTTAATTAAGGCTCAGTACATGTCTTTCCTTTTCTTTAGCCTTTCTCACTATCTGTCTATTCTAACCTTTTCCATTATGGAGTAATTTTTAGAGGGTTTCTGGACCTAAGGCTTTTTTTGAGAAGAATTCCAGGCTTGTGAAGAGTCCAGACTAATTACTGTGACTTCAAGTTTGTTCATTGTATGTAGGTTCCTCTGATTTGAACATAACCTGAAATTTAATAGGTGTTTTGCAAATAAGGCTCTGGGAGAGAGGGCAGAAGAGATCACCTCTCACCAAAGACTGGATTGCCAATCTAAGCAGCACAGATTGGTTTCAGGAATCTATATCACTTTCTTTGCTTTATGGCTAATTGAAAATATTACTTTTATTCTACTGTCAGTTATGGTCACAGAACAAAAGATGTATAATCTATTAGCATAGATGTATAATCTATTAGATTAGTAATTTATATTAAAAAAATTGCTGAATTTGTTATGTGACTCCTTTTTCTTGCTTTTTTGTATTGCTTCCTCTCTTCTATAAAAGGAAAGAGCAATTGGATGGTACTGCCAGGTATGTAGGTGCCATGATTTTATATATATGTTTTAATACAGTTATTGGAGGATGCAAGTTAAATAGTTCTTTGTGGATTCATGAGCTGTTAACCAAAACATGCTACTAACACCACAGGTAGCCATAAAAAAATTATTAACCAATCCATTTTCTAACTGCTTGCTTTTTTCCAAATATAACAACACAGCTAAAATGCTAACTGTACAAAGGCAGTGTTGCTTGCTGATTGTCTGTAAACAGCTTTATTGTTTGTTATGATTAATCATGGTCTAGATTTCTCCTGATCCATGCCATAGAGCCAGGGTTTAGCATCCAAGCTGGTCTGGGGGGGAATTTAAAGTTCTGCTTCATGCTGTTGTTTCATAGTCTTGCATAGAGCAATGTTATGGTGTAAGGGATGAAGTCTCTGTTGATTTACCATGTGCAAAGATTTCTTAACAATAAATACTAAGATGGATGTCTCAGATGGAACAGCAGGATAGTCAATCTCTCTGGCAGTACTGTAAAAGCTACATTAAATTTGAGGCTTTGGTCCCACCCCTGCTGAAAAAAATGGGAAAGCTCCCCATCACACTGGGGAATTTACAAGCAATGAAAATGAAGGAGTCATCAATCCTAATACTGGTCAGTCACTGAAGACTGCAGCAGAGCAGTCATTGTCAGTCAACCTGCAAGGTCTCAAATGGAAATGATATATTTATAATCCTCTTCAGCTAAGTAGAAGAGTCAAAGGCACATACAGTAATTCTGAGGCAAAAGTTTAAGCTAAACTGCTATCAATGGATCATCCATAATGAAATTCAATAGCAATTAAAAGAAAAACAGCTCCACAGACTCCTGCTGAAGCTAGGTCTGTTTGTATCCCCATTTACAGTGTAGAGAAAAGGAACAAGAATTGTAGCAATATTTGAAAAATGTTAGTCGGGGTCAGGCTTGAGTTCCAGTCCCTGGCCTGATGAAAAATTGTCTTTTATTTGTTTGTTTTTTATGCAACACATGACAGCTTCAATAAAGGAAGTTGGAAAAAAAAATATTAACACTTGCTGTTCTCTGAATTTTTGAGGTTCAAACCTCCTTTAACAGAAAGAGAAAACCTATGCCAAGTTTTCTTACAATACAGGCAAGTGTTGTAGTGACAAGTTATTGGGAAAGGTTGTCTTCCCCCTCTTGCCACCATAATCATGAGCTAACCTGCTCCTCTTCGAAGACTGCCTGGATGGGAGCTACCTAGTTTGGGAACCCTCAGAAATCTTATGTACTCCACATCCATGGCACTGCCCAGACTAAGCAGTCACTAACATAGACATCTGGAGATTTCAGCTGTCTGCAGTGTCAACAACAGCTGAATTTTGGTTTTTAATATGTAGGAGAGAGCTTAGGAGCTGAAATCCTTTTGAGTATGTAATTCCATACCTTGAGTCAAAATGTTCTGACTCACATGCAGCAGCAGATTAAAATCAGGTAATTGAATGGCTGCTGCTGTTGACTGTTGGTCACAGCCCCCCAGAGAAGCTCCTGCACTTGCAGCAGCCAAACAGTTTGTGGAGTAGTTTCTGAGTTAGTGTAGCTTTCAGATGTGTAGAAATCATTTTATCTTGACACACTGAATTGAAAATGGAAAAGTATGACTCACAACTCAAACTCTTTAAAACTGTAATCCCAAGGCCCCTCATTCTAGCTGGATATATCTTGCTTTTATGTTGTTACATATGTAATAACCTCCAGCAAAATCATCAGTAAACCTGCCTTGGAGCCTTCCTGTTAGCAGGAATGCGTTTATGGAATGAAGCATTCAATTAAAGGTATTGGAAACCCTCCAGGTAAAGAGACAAATGATGGTACTTGTGGGAGCATCCACTGACTTCAGCAGAACTGGGATTGAGCCATAAAATCTGGTTGTTTTGACAGTCCTACCTCCCATCTCTCATAAAACTCTTATTTACAGACCAGATAATTTAAAAAAAAAAAAAAAGGGGGGAAAAAAATCTTCTTCCTCCTACAGTGATTTAGGATAGAATGTATTACTCATACTCCACTGCAGTTTGTGCTTTTGCTGTACTGAAATAAATGAGCAATAAAGGAATGTGGTACTACTGGAGAGAACAGCCCACAAATGCCCTCAGTCTCCAGGTTCTTCCATCAGTTAAGTACTTAATGGGAAAGCTGCTATAGTAATAAATGGCATTGTCTAATCAGTGGTTGATAAAGAAGAGAGAAGAATTGGTCCAAAGCTTTCACAGAAGCTTTTAATAAACTAAAAATTACACCTGGCTGTTTCAAAATTTGAGGATTGGGAGCGCTTTAAGTGTCAGCGTTTCTACTGAGTGGTGTGAAAACTCTTTAGGAACTCCACAGTTCTAGAGTTAAACACTGTGACAGATCCTTCCATGATCACTCCTTGGAAGCAGGAGCTGGCATTACGAAAAAGACACAGCTACATACAGGTCCTTGTTCTTGGACCATTTGGGAAAAACATAGAGGACACAATAGAGTGGAAGAGTCCATTTCAGAAGCTGGAACCCAAGGCAAGGCTGCAAGAAAGGACTTGTCATAGTAGAAGACCAATTGAGGTTTGGCAGCAGCCCCTTCAAGGCTTTACTGAAGCTCCCTTTAAACTAAAACTGTGAAGATATGAGATATGATGAAGAAGACAATTGACTGCCCTGGAGCTGGACTGGGTCCTGTGAGCAATGAAGGGAAGAGGAACATGTAATGCAGCTCTGTTAAGAATAGCATTTTCCCTATAGGCTCTGTATAGTTCCCCAAACCAGGAGGAACCATGGCTCACTGGTGGGGAGTTTACTGCTTTTATGCCAGAGGTACCTCCAGCTTTATTTTTTCCTTAATCGTTGCCTGAACCTACCAGCTCCATGAAATCTCAGATAGCAATTGCTCTTCTGCCAGTATTGCAAAGCCTTTTCATCTATTCGGCTCTCAAGAAGGAAGATTTATGAGAAAAAGATACTAATGCTCATTTCTGCTGGAGTGCAGCAAATTGTTTAGCAAACATTTGGTAGCCTGACCTACATTTAAGATGGGCCTTTGCTTGATGGGCATATTGTTTATTCTGAACCAACTTTTTATGTCTAAGTTTGGTAATGAATATTGAGCCTAATTTTTCAGTGCTGTTGTTAGCAGCTGTTCAACTGATTTTGACTAGTGTTGAAACTTCAGCACTTGAATGGACAGGCATTTCAATGAAGAGCTTTGAACTTTCTCCTAGGGTCCTATTCCTAATCTTCATTTTCCAGCTGTAGAACTAGACATCAGGAGAGCATGTTCATTCCTAGATCTATTATTATGTGATTGCAGAGAAGTCATTTATCCCTGTTTCCTTATCTCTACAAGATAAATAATATTTCTCTGCCTTTGGAAAGTTGGTTCAGTTTTTTTAAGTGGTATAATCAGTACCAGTCCTTCCTATTATGCATGAAAGAATTCATAAAATGTGGCGCATTTTTGTATTGTCAGTGTTAGCAACAAAATGAAAATAAAACCATACTTTGCAAGGTGTAAAATTTCACTGTCAGCATTTCATCTTAATACATCTGCCCAAAACAGGAAGGAGAAAAAAGCCACTCTGATCTCCACACTACATTAACTACAAATGAAAGGCTGTTCCCATTCTTTTTCATAGAGCTTTTCATGGGTAATCATTAACGTCTCATCTTAATAACTTTTCTTCACTTTACAGTAATGTCATGTTTAGTAGGGAGTCATTCTTTGGATCAAGCCTCACAAGAAAACTTAGGTATATACATTCAAGTAACAGTTGAGCCTTATTCTTTTCATATTTCTTGCATGCCATTCCCTGCCTGCACTTTCTGTTTTTACTACAGTAGTTCACCTACTGCAATCAAAAGTAAGGGGCAATAAGACTGAAAAGTTATTAAGCATAAAAAGGAAGTTGCATGACCTTGCAAATAGTTAATTGTTCTGCTGTTCAGAAAATATGGAATATAATCCTGGCTCTCCCAATGATATGCTTAGAAAGAAGTGCTTTTCTCTGTTTTCATAGAATAGGAGTGATACTAACCTACTCTGCAAATCATTTTGAAATTTACTGTAAAAAAATATACTGTAAGAGCTAAACACTGTTCCTTATGCAGTCCCAACCCTGCCAACACAAATTCATGCAAGTTACTTGGAATCTGAGTTCACTGGAAGAGCATCCTTGCATGTGTATTTGCAGGTTTTGGTTCAGCAAATGGAAAAGAAGTGGATGCTTTTGATCACCTGAAAAAGTTAGTGACATGCTTGAATATCTTGCTGAACTGTGACCTAAGAGGAAGGGCAAGAACTTTATCTTCCTTCAAAGAGTCGTAGAAATAATCCTTCTCATTTCAGGAATAAGAAAGAAATATCATTAGAAATAATATTTTGACTGAATTGTCAAACATTTTATCCTATCCCATACAAACTCTTTGCTGTCATTCAACTTTAGCTCATTGTTCTCTTTCCCACTTCATTCCACAAACATGAAATCATCAACACACAACTCAGCTTTTCTAGCTGAATCTCTTCAACTTTTGGAGAGCAGCTAGTGACGCTCTTTGTTTTTTTCATTTGGTGATTGACCCATACAAAATGGTCAGAAGACACCGATTTGGCAGTTTTATTTGCTTTCTAGTGGTTGATACATATGTTCACTTCAAAGCAAAAAGTGGGTCAACATCCATATGGTTTCTACCTACAATGGCTGCATGCACTGGTGAAAAATATCCATCCTGTTTTGACAAAGAATTGGATTTGGATCATTCTTCCCATAGATTTATGTGACATTGTTTATTTTTGCCCATTCCCAATCACTTTTGAAAGCATGGATGAGAAAAGGGGCTAAGCAAAGGCCTTTAGTGTGCACAAGGTCTCTTTCTGTTTCTGAAGGGCATCAAAGTTGAACGCAAGTTGGACTTGTGTTCATGTTTCTGGGTAGATAATCTGGGTGATAGAAGAGTTTGGATTTGGAGTCACACTCAGCCTTAAATACCAATGAGGTATTGAGTTAGAAGGGATGTTTTCTCCTCAGACATTTGAAACTTGTAAATTTAGACCTCAAGGTTCAGGATGCAAAGTGACAATTTCAGTTGTCAGGAAGCTGGGGTCAACTATTTTGACATTTTTGTGAGATCCTCTCTGCAGAAAAGAATGTCACTCAATAAAAGGGAAAGCTGATTGGCCAAAGTTCAGAAGTACCTTGGAAGTGCAGAATGTTCTTTGTTTTATCTTAAGGAAACTCACAGACTCTCAGAGATCATTTGAACACGTTCAGTGCAGGATTCATGTCTGTCTTTATAACATTAGTTTTGTGCTAATTTCTATTAAGAAGAGTTCAAATTAAAATACTTCTGGAAATCTCACTCAATGTTTGTTTTTCCAAATCTAAGTTCACCCATATAAGTTCAGCTGATAAGGTATAAAAATATTGGAGTAAACATGACTGCCTTTTGCTTCTAGTTACTTGAGACTAACTGAATCCAGTGATTAGCTAACCTGTGAAAAATATGGAAAAATTCCCTGATTATTTTTATTTCTTGTTAGGTGAAAGTGGTAAACACATGGCAGAGGGCTGTTTGATTCACTGTTAGCATTAATTTATTATTTTTCTCCTCATACATGTACCATTTGTTTATGAAACTGCAATACTAGGCAGAGGACAGAGAGGAGAGTATCTGGCTTGCATGATGGGATGTAACTGCATTGTTTCTTTGCATGTCTGTTTCTGGAAAAGTATTTCTAGTTCAGTGGTTCCCACTCTTTATTCTGAGCAAGGGTAAAACGTGCTGCAGAAGCCAGGCATCTCTTGTATATATCCACCCACCAAATTAATCCCTCTGGTAGTCCAAAGTAATTCCCACTGCCCTTGGGGAAAAAGAATTTGAGAGCTGAATTTTTCTTTAGGAAGGAAGAAGCTGTCTGCACTGCTTCCACCTTCCTCCCTTTATGTATCTACCACAGAGTTAAGGAATTCTCATCTTGGGTCCCCATTTCAAACACATAGGTTTTGGAACACATGAGGGAGAGGATGCAATAGCATGCAAGATGAGCAATGGAAACATATCCAAAGTAGTCAGAGAAACTACTCTGCATTTTTATCAGCATGTTTGGAATGCATTTGAATCTCCCCAGTTCCTGGAACTGTGTTGGAAGTTGGGAATCACATTTTATTGAATGTAAGAGAGACAAATGAAATGGGCACACTGTTCCAAGGGGAGGAAGAGTAGCTAACACCAGCAGGAGGATTCTGAAGGAGACAGGCAGCAGTACATGAAGCTGTGGGTGGGAACCACTGTCCTAGCCATTCTCATGGAGGATGATGTGACTGCGCATGCTTCATACCCCGGGACTGAGCCATGCGCATGCTGCCCTAATGAAGGAGATTGTGTCATGAGAACAAATGTTGCCTAAGTCTTTTCAAAAAAAGATCAACGAAAACAAAAACCCCAGCAGATCCAGATTTCATCCCTTGGAAATGAGAATAAAGTCCATTTTTTTTCCTGATGACAGCTAGTCATTATCTGGAAAGAAGCTTGGGTTTTGTTTTGGGTTCTTTTGTATACAACATACTGTTGTACTTTTGGATGTGAAGCTGATTACTTATTTTCTGATGATTCTACTGCTCTGGCTGCCTAGTTATGAACACAATTGTCATATTTATTGCATAAACATACTGTTACGAATCTGAATGTTACTTTAAGGGTTAATCATCAGGATTCAATTAACGAGGAGGGCTTCAGCTCAAGTAATTTTAGCTTAGACTAGAGACCTGCTTTTTAAATGACCTCTCATCTAGATCTTTCTGTAATCAGTAACAAGAGCCAAGTTCCCCAAGCGTAAAGTCTTCCCAAGCTGAACCACACTCTTCCCACTGACTGGTTAGGGTTGCTAACTTCCCACTGATTACAGATATAAGTCTAGAGATTAATCTTAGACAGGAAGTTAAGCTTTTTTAACAGCTTAAGGCAGATCAGATGAGTTCTAGCTCCTAAATTTAAGATGCTAGACGAACAGTCTCGGGAGAATAGTTTGTTCCTAAACTGACATTTATCAATGAGGATAGCTGAGAAACTCCCTGGAAAGAGAGTTTGGGAATGCTTTTAGTTCATGTTATCTACTGTAAATCCCACCCCAAAAAAAAAAAAAAAAAAAAAAAGAAGCACCCCACAAATGCATGTGCCTACATATCCAGTAGAAACTGTCACTGCAAATAAGTAGAGTTTTGTGTTCAATGCAGAGGATTATTTTGATCTGTTTTCATCTATGAGGATGAAATCAAATTTTTGTCAATCCTATTTTTGTATAGCTCCATGACAGAGCTTACTGCATATGTTTCCTATTCCATTGGAAAAAAAAAATTCACTAGAGTAATGTTTTGGATACTTTGCATCATCCACTGACCCTTTTCTTTCTGGTCTGATTCTTATAGAGCCTTGCAGTGCACTTTCTAGCTCCTTGTGTTTTGGTAAGGAAGGCAATTATAACAGGAGTTTTAAGGGGGAAATTTTGGGATATCTGGATACGCATTTTGAAGCACTAAGCAGGTTTCAGGGGAGAGAGTCAGAGACCACCTGTAGTGGCACGTATTTTCTTCTTATATAGTATTAAACTGCTTTTTATAAACAGTAGCAATCTTCTTTCTAATCTATTTTTCTGCTTCTTCATATTTCAGGTTCTGTGCCTTAAATGTATTCTCTTGAGATCTTCTCTGTAGTGTTACTAACTCAAATCTTGTCACATTTAATATGTTGCTCGAAGCCAGTATGTAGTATGTGACCTCTTCTTGCCTTTGAGGAAATTACCTCATCATCTGAAATCATCTGATTTTCACTGCTAGATTTAATCCTTCTCATCCTGTAAGGTCTCTCCAAAAGCTCTGAATCTTAAATCCTGAAGAATAGGTTGACTACACTCTTTCTTTCATTTGAGATTTGTCTATCAATTGTCTATCATTGGTGACCTGTTAATCCTCCCACCAGGAAAAAACTGATCTCCACAAAAAGCCTTTTGAACGTACCTTTTTTTTTCAGATCCAGGGATAAATTTCTTCATTTTATTATCATTGAACAGATCTCATTCTAAAACTGCTTTGATTTCTTCCTTCTTGTAGCTTAGCTTATTTCAGTCTCCTTCTGTCTACAAAGATCACCACCATACCATGCTTGCCTAAGTGCTCTTTTTTCTTTATATTAAAGAAATGCTCACTCTCACAAGCTCATTCTCTCTAACACCTTCAGGCTCATCAGTTTCGATTGCCTGGCTGATTCTGTTATCACTCAGCTAGATTTCTGGTGCATTTCTTTGCATTAAAATTCTTTTCAGTGATGTACATGATTCCAGACTCTTCTTGACCATCCTTCTCAAAATTAATTCCTCCTTCAAACTTTGATTTTATTATTATTGAGACATGTGAATTTATTTTCCCTACTTTACTCTCCCAAAAAACCTCCATACAGATCATTCTGTTGACTTTTACTTCCTCACCTTTATTTTTTCATGCTCTTTCAAAATTGCTCAGTAGTTGTTATCTTCTCCTCTGTATATTTTTCCTATGTGTGGTAGCCAAGTGCTTGAAGAATGCAAATTTCACAGAAATACCATGGAGTTAAGACATCTGTCTTGTAAAGCAATACTGCTCCAAACATGGCCTCTGAAATAGAGAAGTGAAAGAAAAGAGGTCACAGGATTCTTCCTGAGTAGAACACTTGTTGGCATTCTGCACTCACCATTTAGAGTGCCTTGGTGGGCCAATCAGATCAAGATTCCAACCCAAAAGCAAGAACTATGGAAGTAATTTTTAAAATGGGTTCCCAAAACGTAGTTTGTAAAAAAATATGAGATGTTACTTGTTGACATCCATGACAAAGAAGTAATTAATCCCTGATTTTTGCTAATTACATTTGTCTGAACTTTGTGCCATGAATTATTCAGGAAATGACAATAGGGCAAAGTTTGAGTAATACTGCTATCATTCACTTGGACTGTTCTAATTCTTCACTCAATCCAGGCTTTCATCTCCTGGAAATGCTGATATATCAGGACTAATTGTGTGTCTCCATACACAAGTTGTTCTTAGTTTCCAGTTCCATACTTGCACACACATATGAACTTCATACATGCAATGACAGGACAAGAGTCTGAATTTACTGGGCTGCATTCACAAGTATATGTCATGGTTTGAGAGCTCCAAACTCCAATTCCCTAGTCCAAACCCCCTCCCACATCTCAACCCAGTGTGAGATGGGTTTTCCAGACACCACACGAAACTCAAAATGGGGGAAAGGGATAATATATTACAATGACTGTACAAATAAATACTACAATACATTATATACAATCTTAGCTATCTCTACCATGACATAAAAGTATTTACAATGGATCAAATCTCTTCTCCCCTCCAAATAAAAGTCCAGGAGGGAAGAAGGAAAGATCCTTTCCACTTTCAGAACAGCATTCTCTTCAGAGTATCAGTCTATCTCTCTCTCTCTTCCATGCGGCAGCTGTAGCTGGATCTCTGCCAATACACTCGAGGGGGTATCCAAGCCCCTCGGCCCATCGTCTCCAAGCGAGGGTCTTTCTCTTCCGTGGACTGCATAGCAGGGACAAAACTCGCTTCACCACATCATATCATGGGGTGTAAGACCCCCATGAAGGTCCCTTCCTCAGGGGATTCACCCCTGAGTCAGAACATCTTGGGCAGCTTTCAGTTGAAGGCCTTTGCCTCAAGAGTTCTATCAGAGCTTCTGTGCTCTGACCTCAGGCTGCTAGCTTAGCTTGGCAGCAGCGGCAAGGGGGGCCAAGGTCACCCCCTCTGCATTCCTTTGGCCGTCCTGGTCCAGCTTTCCAGGACGCCTGAGCTTTTCAGCTCCTCTCTGCAGTGCTACTGCACTTCACCCCTCCCTTCTAGGAGGGGTCTCCAAGGAGTTTGGGGGCTTTTGATTCAGTTCTTACCCCAGAACTCTGTCTCTGTCTGTAGAGCTTAGTCTTGCTCTCTCTGCTGCTGGTTCTCTTTCTCTTTCTCTCTCTCCTTACAGGAGTTCTCTCTGTGTTGCTTCCTGCCTGTTGGTGCTGCTCGGTCTTCTCTCTTCTGGCTCTCTGCCACTTTCTCCGTCCACTGCTGTTCTGCCGCTGCTTTTCAGTATCTTTTGCTGCGGCTCACAGTGGAGAAACATACCCTGGCTCAGCTAGAGACACTTAGCCCAGTCTTACACTGTTCCAAGTCCTTGCAGCCCCCAGTCGGGGCTGGGGGGGGGGCTTAGCCCCCAAATGGGGCTCCTGCCCCATCTCCTTGTGGCCTCAGAACATGGCCACCTCTCCTACAACTACCTTCTTTCCGTTCTGCTTGTGTTATGTTTATATTTTGCAGAAGTACTCATTGGGTAAAACTTTAAGGGTCACCACCCCCTGGGGATTTACCATTTTATAACTTCAGGGGGAAAACTGTTTCCCCCCACCACAGCATATCAACAAGAAAATTCAGAAGGGCTGAAAAAACTTCCTACCCAAAGCTTTAGTGCTTTCCTCTTTTTGTGACAGGGAAGCCCATATTTCATTACTTCCTGGGTCAAAGATATATTAATCAGAAACAGCTAGCAGAAATAAGGACCTCAGTAATTAATGTAGAAAAAAACCAACAAAAAAACTTGCAAGAGCTGTGATGTTCAGTGCTCAGATCAGGTGTGAATTTTGTATGCTGTAAATTACAGTATTTTTACTAGAGTTAGCACTCTTATGAAAGCTGTGCTGCCATCAAGCATATCTTTAAGTCTTTCCTTTATCATTTTAAGAGGAATTTCCTAAGGACTTCCATTATGGCAGAATACTCTGAGATAGAAATAGATGCTTTTTTCACACTTGCAAGGTCAGCAGCCAAGTCTTCATCTTTGTCTACTATGTCCTTGCATGGTGGACCCTCCCCACACTTGCCTCTCCTGCCAGCAGGTTTAGTGGCTTCAGCTGATCCTACTGCACAGATCCCTTACTGAATACCTATTAATTCTTTCCTCTGGTAACCATGGCTGTTTATCCTTCAGCTCTGCTCTCACCCATGGCTCTCAGAAACCTGCCAGCTGTGATGGCTTCTTCCCTCCCTGCCTCCCCACACTCAACCTGCTTGACCTGGTGTCCCACACAGAACTGCCTCTTGATCATGTGTGCACAATTCACCTCTCCTAGAGTTGTCCCACACTTCAGCATCCAGAAATATGTTAAAAGGCAGACTTTCTTCCCATGGCTTAGCCCTGCTTTTTTTTTTTTTTTTAAATAACAAATGTGCAATTAACAAATGTTTGAGCAGCAAAGTGAACAAGCAAATCAAATATTTAAACCATCTATCACCTAAAAAGTGTTTAGAACATATATAAGCTTATATACTCACTAGCAGACTCCTTTTCTGTTGCTCTTTTCCATAGTATCAGTGATTGCCTTTTAGGTGGTTTCAGTCATCAGGCTGTCAGGGTTAGTGATGCTGGTAAAACGGCAGATAGATGAAATTCTAGCTATATGTTGTCACTGAAGGACAAGTGTCTTTGGGCAGTAAATCTGTAAGAGGACAGTGCAAGGAATCATCAGAGGAACAAAATATGTCACTTCACTACAACTCACATAGGTCACCTCAATTCTTGGAGTAGTGAGATATGGCTGACAGCAAATGTTGGAGAGAACAGGGCAGCCTGCCCTGCCATGTATGTAGTCATTGCTTGGCAATGCCTTGCCAGAGTTTTGCTGGTAATTTACTTTGTTCACAGCACATCTGACTTTCTTTTACTCCTGACTATGCACAGCTCTTCTATGAATAAACGGCTGAGAGAGTTGGGGTTGTTGCATTTGGATAAGAGAAGGCTCTGGGAAGACCTCAGAGCACCTTCCAGTAACAAAAGGGGGACTGCAAGAAAGCAGGAGAGGGACTTTTAGCAAGGATATGTAGTTACAGGACAAGGGGGAATGGCTTCTAACTGAAAGAGGGCAGATTTAGACTAGATATTAGGAAGAAATTCTTCACTGTGAGGGAAGAGAGGCACTGGAACAGGTTGCTCAGAGAAGTTGTGGATGCCCCATCTCTGGAAGTGTTCAAGGCCAGGCTGGATGGGGCTTTGAGCAACCTGGTCTAGTGGAAGGTATCCCTGCTCATGGCAGTAGTGGTGTTTTGTCCTAATACTAAAATTAATGCTTTAGGCATGCTACATGAGCTGAAGTACTATGATACCTTGCATGGAGAGGATAGCAAAATCCTCTGTTAACATTTATACAAAAGTGCTCATAAAAAGCAGTTAATTATCTGTGGAGCTTAACTGTTGCTTATGAAGACATTCATTTATTATGGTAGCCCCAGCAGTGTCCTTGCATATAAAACATTTACTTAACCCATTATATACTTAAAGCATCATGAAAACAAATTAATAGTGTACAAAGGAGGAAAATGTTTACTTTTGCTTATTTTGTAGCCAAAAGCTGGGTCTCTTGGATCGGGTTCGTGGTACCAATACTAAAGGAAAGCTATTTACCCCTCTGAATGTAGATGCCATTGAAGAAAGTCCTTCAAAAGAACCTAAGAATGTTGTCTTGAATAATAAGGAGCGTTTTCGCACTGCATTCCGAATGAAAGCGTACGCTTTTTGGCAAAGCTCAGAAGGTAGCCCATCTGTGTTGGTTTGTGTCTATGCATCCCCTGTTCTCTCCATTTTACTTTGTTCCTCTGCATCTTCTATTGAAGGTTTGTGACTTTCTGGGCTAAGCATGTCTGGTACCTGGTTTTATGTGGTACAATTGGGGAAGCCCAAGGAAATGAATCCTGGAGTCCAGGCAACACAGCGCTTGAAAAAAGACAGGAACCATCCATGAAAACAGCAATTGATATGGGATAAAGCCAGTGTTGCAATCAGCCTATTTGACCTAGAAAAAGAGGGCACGCTGGGCAGTGAATGTATATCCCCTAAAAAACCTATGCCATCATGGCTCGGTTTATCAGCAGGGCTGCCATGCTAAGGTAGCTCTCTCCTAGACTGCATCCAGCCTTGCACTAGCCTGTGTCCAGGCATCTCAAATTGCCATCTCATAACACCTGGTTTTATAGAGTCAAGGTATTCTTCCCCTCTGCCCCTAAGCAGATTTCCATTGGGTGTCCACACATTTTTCCTCTTCACAGGACAGAAATGTCCACAGGGCATTTTTCCTCTCAGCTTCCCTGACCACACATTTTCCTCCTCCTTCCTATAGCATCCAAATGGTCTTTAAATAACAGTTTCTCCTTTATTGAACCAACTGGCATCAGTGCTGGACATACTACCATAGATATAGTCAGGGTGTCCACACTGGAAACTTGATTATTCTTCTTCATGAGGGTACATGAGCTGCAAGCAGTGCAAGTGAAAGGAGAGCTTGGCCTGTGGCTTCTAAACCTGTTTTAGCCTTTATGTTAAATATTTGGGCAAAGATCCACTGTAAAGGAAAATATGTTCCTAACATTTCAGAAATGCTGGAATCTGAGAGGAGATCCCTCAAATAATGTGACTTATAGATGTCCCAGAACTATTAAATCCCTTTCAAGAGCTGAACAGCGAAAGAGGAACATGTAAGAGATGGTCCTTTACTAAACTGCACTTACTTTAAGCAGCGCTTTAGTCAGACAGACATCCCTCTAATTACTGTGTGGTCAGATGTTCACACAGCTGGTTTATGGCCTGCTTTGCAGATGCAGGAACAGGGGAACCCATGGCAGAAGACAGAGGCGACAGTAATGATTTTCTTATGGAAGATATGATCCCCACATTCAAGACAGCCATCCGAGCTGTCAGGTAAATATCTCCACTGATCCTCAATGCCTATTTTTTTTCCTCTCTTTTTTTTCCCTTTTTTTTTTTCTTCCCAATGTTTATGCTTCAGAAAATCACTTCACCACATTGCTACATGTTGATTCATTGTTGCTGTTATTGCTTTTTTAAAATGCAATAGAATAGATAATTCTGACTGCATTCAAAAGCACAAGACAGACCCTATTCAAAGGCTGTTGAAAAGATGCAGAAAGGAGAATGTTTTTCAATAACATTGACCATGTCATTTTTGCAAGATAATTATATTTATTATAAAGTAATATTGTATACAGTTCCTCATTAAAATACTATATAAATATGATATATTACTCACTTTAGTGACTAATATTTGTATTAAACTGGAATTTTCACTAAACAAAAAACTCTGAACTGACTCAGCTTTTCTTTATTCACAATCATATGAGTGTGCAATATACTTTTCAGCTATCATCTTTTAATAGATGCTGAGGTCTCCATTTCAGCAGTTTTTGGCTTGTGACATGTATCACCTCTATTTTCCTGTCACAAGAGATATTCCCTGGGGTTAGAAAACTCCTAGTAAGCCTCAATAATATGCTTAGCACATCAAGCAAATAGAATTCATTCACTGATGCCCTGTTACTTCTCAGTGTTCTGTTTTCCCTTGAAAAATGCTCCCATATGAAAATACTCTGCTTTCATTGCAATTGCTGTTTATTTTATTCCAGAAGTTACTAAGTTTTGGGTCAGAGACTTATCACCTTCCAGGTGAAATACTGCAAGTCTGGAGTGCCCAAAAATCATCTAAGAAAAACTTCAAGGAAGATGGTTGTAAAAATATAACCATATATTATATGTATATAACCATCGTATGTACTTTCCTGGTTCTCTTCCAGTTGGGTGCAGGAGAACCAGCCACTAAAAATCCCAAGTTTTCTCAAGCCTGCTGAAAGCCACGTCCCACAGGCTTTGCTCGTGCTACCCAAGGCTGCTTCCCTCCCATTGGAAGTTTCTTCATCCCTATGTCCTCCATAGTTTTCCCTTTCTTTCCCTGATACCTGCTTGCTTTCTAACTCAGAGACATGTTACTTATTACTTTTGCAAAACTTCTTTCCCACATCCTGTCCAAATCTAATTGATTCATGCAATTTCCCTTTAAACTCAATCAGGAGCCAAGATTTTTTTTTCTTGTGTAGTTTATCCAGACCTTGAATGTTAATGGGAAGTAATTCTTTCAGACAACACCACTTAATGGATTTCAGGGTCATGACCAAGGAGATTTTAAATTGAAATTGCTAACAGTGTGATTCCTGTTTTTCATTTATGTCTTTTAATGTATAATTTTGCTGTTATCATATATGATTTGACTAAAATAGGCATAGTTATAATTCTGAAATCTTGAAAGATTTATAAGCAACAGAGTTGAAGAGTCAGCAGCCCTTAAAGAGTCATAATAGAATTATGTTTGCTAAATGAAAGTTTATGCAGATTTTAAAAACATTAAAAAACCCACCAACATTAAATAAAAAACAAGTCAGAATCTTAGCAGATAACAGGAATTCCCCAATTCAGACCAACAAGAACATGAAGACTACTGAGAAAACAAACCCCCAGAACCCAAGCCTAAAACATATGAAGATAAAGATTTCATTCTTTAAACATGTTTATTCTATTTGTTTAATCTACCAAGACTTAACAGTTTAAAACAATGTATAAACAGAAAAGAATGAAGAAAAATAATGCCAAATATTTTTTAAGTGCTCTGGCCAGCAGTGGTCCTTATTATAAAAATTCTGTTACTAATTACTAAGTCATTTTATAATAATAGTAATAATAACAGCAATTATTATCATTACAACAACAAGAAAAATGTTATACTGCTGATTCTTCAAGGACAGTTCAAACAGTTTTAATAATTTTTCTTCTCTTCACAACTTGAACTGCTGCTAACTTCCTAACTTCCACATTTATATCTAATTCGCGTTTCCTATCCAAAATTCTCCGAGGTGCAAAATGAAACCCAAGATGAAAATGATTCAGCATTACATATACTATAAATTAGCTTTGTAATGGGCCAAAGCATTAAAAAGCAACTTCCACATCACAGCTTCAAAATCTCCCATGGCTTGTATTGTTAAAATTCAAACTCCAAATAAGATTCTGTAGCTTTTAACCATTTGTTTTATCCTATTAATTATGAAAAGTATTTCCAAATGTGGTATGATGTTAGAGATTCTCTGCTTATATTTTATTGACTTGTTTGGAAATAATGTGCTCAATGTCCAAACACCCAGTGTATTTATCAATTATTTGATGAAACTGGAAATTATCACTATGAAGTTTATATAATAAATTAATATTTTTTCTGTTTATTATGCAGAATACTACAGTTTCGTCTCTATAAAAAAAAATTCAAGGAGACTTTGAGGCCTTATGATGTAAAGGATGTGATAGAGCAATACTCAGCAGGGCATCTTGATATGCTTTCCAGAATAAAATACCTTCAGGCAAGGTAAGAATCTTCTGGCTAATGGGGAAAATGTTTAGCTTTGCTGGCAAAATGAAGGCATACTCGGCCTATTTGTGTAAGGTCACCCAGAAGCTATGACTTTGCATAGTGTAGCTGGTCTACTGAGGTCCCCAGTCAGTCTGAGCAGCAAAATGCCACACAGATAATTCCTTTCATGAATAGGCTGAGGGAGAGCAACCCTTGCTGCACACTCAGACCTTGGCTTTGTAAGGCTGCTCTGGTCCTTTTGTTGGACATTGTAATTTCTTATTTGGAAGTGATTTTCCATGTACTGGGCTATCTCTTTTTCATGTATATAACATGCCTGGTTCCTACCTCCCTATTATTGCTCTAGGAAAACTTCTTTGTTTGATTATGTTCCACAAACCACCATTGTTACTCTGTAAAATGAGCTCTGCATCACATGAGCTTAGATTTTTTAATGCAGTAATATCTTCTTGAACTCAAGAAGTTGAGGAGTGCTCATGATATTAGAAATCTGCACCATCTATGGTGGGTTCTATATGTCTTATACTAGAGATCCTTCCATTACCTCAGACTGAGGTGTTGCATTTTGGACAACAGTACCTCTCAGATACTCTCTTGACTCCTGGCAGCACTAAAAGTGCTTGATATGATTAGGTCCATCTCACACAGTGGTTATGTCAGAGCTTTGGGGGATGGAGTCACATTCCAGGCAGTCAGGGCAAGAATCACAGCACAGCCCTGGTGTTCAACTCAGCAGCACCATAAAAAATCACCAGTGGCAGAACTGCAAAATTTCAACAGCCATGTTGCATCTATACAGACCTTTTTAGAGGTCTTTTGAAGAAAAATCATAATCCTGCAAACCCACATGAGATTCCTCTTATGGTTAACAGAGAGCTAGCCAGCACAATTGTTCTTTATGGCCCATCTAATCCCTGCTTAAATCAGATGTATTCATGTAATCAGCTGAATCTCCCTTACTGTCTCACAAATTTTCTTCACTGTGTTGGCTGGATCTCCACTGATTGCAACTGGACACAACCAGGGAGGTATATCCTACTTGTTGAGTTTATGAATAGCAAGGGGCCATAGAAGTTTGAAGAGACATGGACTGATGTCTCAGCAGTGCTTGGGGGCCTAGCCAATATTTAGCTATCTTTGTGAGGCTTGTCTTGAGCTTTTTCAAGTTCCATTTTCAAAACTCCATGGGGCACTGTGAAGCCATGTAATGCATGGGTTGTCTGATCATACAAGCAGCTGGTCTGTGCACTAGTGCTGACTGATATCAGGTCAGTTTGGGGTGTGAGCTGAAAGAACAGAGACTTGCACCCGAGCAACTGGATATGCCAAATGAAAGAACATTTTGATATAGTAAAAGAGTGTAATTTAATGTGCTGAAGCCTTCCAAACAATCCTTTTGCTTTTGTGTCAAATAAAAAGTCAAGTAGGATTCATTGTGAAACTTCATTTAAAGTTATGTTTTTCAAACTAAAAAAAAAAATAAAATAGTAAATACAAAAATATTACCGGACAATTAGATACAGCAACTGCCAGAATGTCCTTGGTTTATTAAGAATTTAAGGAATTCTACTTTTCACCAAGTTCGATTTTCATTATCCAGCATAGAACCTGATGGGTCTCCTGACATTTTTAAGAGCAGCTGCTATTGGGGATTTTTTAACAATCATGCTGTTTGGTTCCTTTGAAGGAAAAGAAGTCATGTGTTTCAAATGTTGAAATTTGGAAACTGTGAGCTAGAGCATTACTTAATTGCCATTAAATTACCACGTAATTGCAATTCAGTGTATTGGTTGTGGACCCAGAACAGAACAAACACACCATGACCCTCAACATATTACCAAATCAACACCTGCTTTTTTTTTGAATCTTTGCTTCAGACATGCATAGCATATTCTGTCACCTGTTAGCATTTGGAGATGGACTTATGCGGTTGCACTTTTCTTTTTTTCAGAGTAGATATGATTTTTACACCTGGACCTCCATCTACTCCCAAGCATAAGAAATCCCAAAAAGGAGGAGCTTTTTCTTACCCTTCACAACAGTCTCCCAGGTGAATTTTTTTATGCCTAGTATTTAGCACAGACCAAAAATAAAAAGTTAATTCATACTAATAAGCATGACCTTTATTCAGCCACAGTTACAATGATGATACTGAGAGCATATGTTGCTGTAAGATATGCATGTGGGTAAAATGTTGAGCCAGAAAGTCACTACCTTCCCTAAAAACAAAGTATGATGGAAATCTAAGCAATGGCATCTTATTTGTCTAGGTCAGCTTCTCCACAGTTTGGAAATATGATTTTAAATTAATTAGGCACATTTGATTGCTGATGTGCTGAATTTCTAACATTCAACTAGTAAACTCACTTAAAAGCTTGAAATTAACAATAGTTCGAAAGTAAACTAGTTATCTTCCCGAAGTGAAAAAAGCTTCATTACGGCCCCCACCAAGTGCCAAGCAAAGATTTTTAATGCTGCTGCTTTTAAAACAATGATTGCTGAGAAATGCTCAAAATAAATTGTAATACCAGGTTTCTGGGTGTGAAAGTTGCAGCATCTTATTGTATTGCTGCATTCCTGGTAGCAAGAATTCAATAATAAATGACATTTCTTCTGTTGTTTACAACTATCAATCTGTCAATAAATACCCATCAAGAACCACACAAGACCATCAACAATCTGTCCCCAAAGCTGTCGTAGCTGCTCAGAACAAAAGCAATCTTACAGAAAATAAATTATCCCCCCTGGAAAAAATCTGAACCCATGTAAATGGGAAGAGAGAGACATAAGCATATGGAAGAGACAGTGATCATTTGGGAAACAAAGCAGATTGCAAAAATTGAATGAGCCCATATCACCAATAACTCAATGTGGAAAATCTGACATATTTTAGTTATAGTTTCTGCTCTGGTAATATCACTGTTGTATTTTGGATTTTGTCAGAAGGTGAAGAACTGGACCTGTTAAAAGTTTTAGTGTATTTGTTACAATTCATGTTAAAGAGCAAGTGCTTAGAAACTGTTTTCCTAAACTTTGGCATAGGTTATGGGAAGACACAGATTCCTTTGAGTTTGGGGGATGGAGTCACATTCCAGGCAGTCAGGGCAAGAATCACAGCACAGCCCTGGTGTTCAACTCAGCAACACCATAAAGAATCACCAGTGGCAGAACTGCAGAAACCATTTGATAAAGTTTTAACTTGATCATGAGCAGCCTAGCTCCCATGAAGTTATAAATCAAAGCTCTTTAGTTAGAGATCATCTTCTTACCTCCTGAGGTTTGTCCATATGGTGGACAGGAAGGAAGAAATTGCATAGATGAAAATTCATTCTGGAATCTGCTGCCAGACTGTCTCTTTTCAGCATTTCCAGTCTCTGCCACTTATTATTTGGTTTAATGAAATCGAGAAAAAAAACACACTCATCCTTGAAACTCAGATTCAGTCTCTAAATACACTAATTATAAAGAATTAGATTTGAAAACACATGGCCATCTGCAGACCCACTAACTAGACTATCTCGATATTTGTCACAAACCTGAAATTATTCCACCAATCAGAGATTAATTTCAACATTATTTTGAATTTTTTTGCTTTTGGCTTTTCTTAATTTTTATCTTAATCGTGAACAAAAAAAATTAAATTAAAAATTAATAGTACAATTTTTAGAATTGAATTAGAATCACATAGAATTTTTACTCTTGTTTTTATGATAAATAACTAAATGGTCTCCGAGGGTCTATAAGAATGCATCACCAAGATGTGAATTGTTTCTAACAGAAATTGCTTACTGCAATGCAAAAATTGAGCACTAATTAGAATTATTAATTCTTTGTAGAAATGATCCGTATGTAGCCAAAGCATCTACAGCAGACACTGAAGACCAAAGTATGATGGGCAAATTTGTCAAAGTTGAACGACAGGTATGTAATTTCATGACAATGATGGAGGCTGAGGTGCTTGTACAGGAATGGTAGAGCTGACATAAATTCTGTATGACTCTGGCTGACCCAGGAAGAATTCTACTGCTGGTTGTTAGTTTTTCATGATAGAATTTACTTACCAGGGATGTGTGCATTTTGAAACCTGTTGAATCAATATCATTATATATGGCAGAAGATCCTAACCATGACGTTTAAGTGGGACTTTTTCATTTCCCTAAACGCCATATACATCACACCTGATGTTCTGTCTTGAGCAACCCCTTCTTCTGCAGGGTCTGGCACTCAAAATGATTGGCCCCAAAGATATTTTTGGGCCCTATCAAAAGAGAAAGGGAATGAGTCCTGAAATGTAACCCTGATGTTGTGGGACTGTTAAGAGTTAGAGAATAGGTCTGTCTGCAGAGGTACTTCCATATGTTGTATTTTGGTAATGGCTATTTACCATATGGTATCAAGATTTTGTAATAATGTTGTAGACTGCTGGTGGATACTGGACTGTTAAATATCCAGCTACACTAAGAATTTTTTTGGCAGAGTTCATAGGGACAGGTCTTGTTATTCTGAGGCAGTTAGAGGATAAGCTGGCATCCACTGCAGTCCAGCTTGTGAGGGAAGGTCATGATTATCCTGTAATTACCTTCATGATCAATAAAGATGACAGCACACCATTGCTGGAGGCAGTGCATGTATGGAAGCATGGATTCTCTTGTTGAACAACTGACTTGAGGCAATGTCATGACATTGGTATTTTTCAGGTAAATGACATGGGGAAGAAACTGGATTTTCTTGTTGATATGCATATGCATCATATGGAACAGCTGCAAATACAAGTCGCCGAGATAAGTCCATTGAAAGAAACTGCTTCTCCTGCAAGGGAGAAGAGAGAAGAAAACAAATATTCTGAATTAAAAACAATAATATATAAATACACTGAGCAGTGTGCTCGTGAAACTCCTTACAATTTCCAGCAGGTTCCAGTCAACAAAGTCAGTCCTTATGGTTTCTCAGCTCGAGGTCATACGACTCATTCACAACCTTTATCAACAGGTGGGCAAAACTCTGGCAAACTGCAAGCCACACCTTCCTCAACTTCGTATGCAGAAAGGCCAACAGTTCTGCCTATATTCACGCTGATGGACTCCCAGGTTAGCTACCACTCCCAAGGAGACCTACAAAGCCCTTACTCAGACAAGGTGTCTCCAAGGCAGAGAAGGAGCCTAACAAGAGACAGTGACACTCCATTGTCCCTTCTCTCAGTCAACCATGAGGAACTCGAGCGCTCCCCAAGTGGCTTCAGTATCTCCCAGGAGAGAGACGACTTCCCGTTTGGCCCCAATGGGGGATCGGCGTGGATGAGAGAGAAACGCTACCTAGCAGAGGGGGAGACAGACACAGACACAGACCCTTTCACACCAAGTGGCTCCATGCCTTTGTCTTCTACAGGAGATGGGATTTCAGATTCAATATGGACCCCTTCGAACAAGCCAGTCTAAAAGTGCGTGTGGGGGCAGTCACTGGTTGACTTCTCCATGTAATGTAAGCATACTTTGTATATCTCACTTACTCTACACCCAAAGCTTACTAGTTCCAAACACCAATGGCTGCATAAGATGCATGTGATATTAGTGGTAGTCATTCTGCACCATTTCATACGATTTAATAATGCAGTTTTTTTCATGCTACCAAAACTAAGGAGCTTAGTTTTGAGCATGGTTTGCATGACTTTACCCTGTATAAATGGTACAGCTGATTTCTTCTATGATACATATCTATCTGATACTCTTCAATACAACAATGGTGAATTGATAACAGGCAAGATATGGTGGTCCTTGCTATATTTTGTAAACAGAGCAGCAAAGTAAAAATATTTTCAGGAGCAATATCCCTTTGTGGAAACATAATGTATTAATCATTTTTCAGTATAAGTCAATCTCTAACCAACCTAGCCAAGAACTTCTACTGTCAAAAGCAGGGAAAAAGCTGAGTCAAAGTATGACCTTATTGAAATGGGTTTCTGAACTAAGTGTTTCTCATGTGATTTCTTATATAATTACCCCTGAAATATAATGTTGAAATTAAATTAAGGGTAGAATTTTAAATCATCAAAACCACCTTATGGGATTGATCATAGCTATTTATTTATTGTAAAATGTAAATATAAATCCCTCAAACTACTTTGAAAGTCTTCACTAGTGTTTATAAAATTGCTCAAAGTGTGACTGCAATGCTATTTTGTAGAAAATCTTTCGCTAAGTTGATTTGTTACTTATGGGGCCAAATTTTCTTTCTGTTCCAAAAATAAGGTTATTCAGTGTAGGGAAGCCCAGGTTTATACACTCCACTCGTTCACTGATTTGTGTGCTGCTGAGTAAGATGCATAACGTAACACTGCCTCAGTTTCCCAATCTGTTAACTGGGAGTTATAGTTCCACACATAAACACAGGTTGTAAGGCTCAAGTCACTAATATTTGCCAAGTGCTTTGAGCTCCTCAGATGTACAGAACATCATTATTCTGTCTTCTGTGAGTCCCACAGTGTGAGATGCTACCAGGATCTGTTTCACTCTGTTTACTGCTTCTCTTGGAAATAGACTGCTCCAAATCCATGAATGTTTCCCATATTTAAGATCTATGTACGAGTAAATAAACACCATTTTTGTCACCTGTCTCTGAGCAGCAGAGGGGTCAAGATGCTCCCTAAGCCTTGGCCAAGTATTATTTTCACAGAAATTGGATATTATATTGAGGGAGAGCAGGAAATTCATTCAACCCACTGGGAAGAAACAAATCAAAGATCTCACCAGCAGAAATGTAGTACCTAAAAAGCTAGTGAAACTAAGCCTATCTGAATATCCTATGCAGGTCTAACCTGTGTCAATTGAGGTGTCCATAAAATAACATCCATTTGATTTCAAGTTTGATGGCTGTACACTCTTTACAGCTGGTGGGAAATTAAGCAGTGCAGTCAGTGAGCACAGGGTACAAGAACCAAGGCACACATCAGCTTTAGGATGAGATTCATCTCACCTTTAACTCAATTATCTACAATGACCAAATTACTACCAGCTTCACAGGGAGCAGAGGGTGACTTGCTTTGATGTCAAATGATCAGAGACACCCACAGTCAGTGGGAAGGCTCTCACCTCTACCCCACTGATCCAAGGTGCAGCCTCTCTGTCATGGCTCCTGTCAAGAACGACACCTGTCACTCCACACAATGGCCAGAGCACTGACCAACAAAGACACAAGCATTTGGTTCATGTAAGATGTTAGAAAGTGGTCTTTCTGTAGTGACTGCTGGTATTATACTGCAGTTGCATAACTGAGCATCCTTTGCACACTCAGAGCACAAGAACACGTTACTGGGCTTCCCAGTACTTAGTGGGTATTGAACAGCCCTGGATAGAGTGCACTTGAATAGATGATATTTCGTTGGGTTTTGCTCACCATAGGAAACTTCATGTTCAATTCCTCAGCATTGTTGACATCTCCTAACAGTAATTCCATCCAGGAGCTTCTATTCCTTTCCAGATGTAGGCATTGCCTTCATCTTCATTGTTTATTCTGTATTGGAAGAGACATCTAAAGGATTAGGATCTTCTTACTTCGTCTGCTTCTTCTGCTAAATCATGCTGCATCCTTTTGGGATGGATCTTCAGGGAGAACAAATTGCTGTTGTTAGTGGAGTAAATAACGCAGACCAGTTACAGCCTTTGAAGACTGGCCTGAGTCCATGGAGCTGTTCTGAGGCTGGTAACTATGATGACATGAGGCACAATTTTGGTAATTACTTAATTGACAGAATAGCCATTGACGTGAAAGATAATCTCTGTTTGGTGCAATTTTTGTGGCTAAATTTGCAGAGAATAAAACTAACTGACAAACTCATTATAATTTGGTATATTGAGAAGAATTCTTTGGCCTTTGATGATTCTTGGAAATACCTGTTTTGCACCTGCTGCAGGCTTTCTGATATAGGAATAGATGCCCGTGGCAAATCGTGAGATTTAACCCTCACACAACAAGAGAATGAAAAACAATGAAAAATGACTTTGACATTGCAACACTTCTGAAATTGGTGTAAGTGTATGCTAGACAAGCCTGCTTATTTGTCAAGGGCCTGTCATTCCCACTGATTTCATATGAGTTTGGTCCTTCTTAAAATGCTTTCTGGATCAGAGCAATCAAAAATCAAGGCAGTTCCCTGTCCAATTCCGACTTAAATTCTTCAGTTCAAGTTTCTATTCTTTCCCATTCCAGGTGATATAAAAGGAATCTTCACTCACTATTAACTCTGGCTGAAAATCCATAAATAACCTCATTATAAAGGTATGTTCAAGAGAAAATCCAAGCAAGGGTAGAGACTTGGATGAGTCTTCACCTGCACACAGAGTGCAGCCCCAGAGAAAGCACGATTTGGGCTGCCCTGCACTCTGTACACTTACCAGCTCAACTGCCTTTAAGTTAGTGTTTTTTATGGCCTGTCATCACCAATTTGCTATATGCAGCTTAAAGGCACCAGGTCAGGTATTAGCAGCCACATCATGAAATATTTAATGATTTGCTAACTGGCCAGATGAGGTCTGCCTCTTCTTAAAAAGCACTGGTGGTAAACTCAACAAGACCCTCTGCAGGGGACATCTGTGGAATCTGTGGAGAAGACCCAAGAAATGGGACAAGGAAGATCTGAGTGGTTTATTTTATTTCTTCCTACACACTTCTTCACACTGAAACCTGTTGCTGCTCTGTTCAGAAGGGTGATGTGCTTAGCAGCTCTCTACCCTCTACATCATCTGGATTAAAAATAGGGTGTGCATCAGTTCTGCTGTCTGTGATGACCACAGACAATGTGCCAAGGTGTCACCAGCCAGGCGAGATCTGGAGACCATCCCTGATCTGGGATGTGCACACAAACTTCATCAGACTGTAGTTCAGATGAGTCCACAGAGAGCATCCACCTTTGCACTGCAGTTTATGTGCCTGCCATAGATACTGGACAAAACAAAACAAAATATGTGTGACTCTGGTAACATTTAGAAGGTCAGGGTCTTTTTCCACATGCAGTTCACAATTTCATTTGAGAGAGCTGTCTGGGTCAACAATAGTCATCACAATAGGAATGAATTAGATTTATTCCTTCTGTTTCTGTGTGATGGTTCAATTTAAGAGCTACCAATGCTCTTTGGGTCAGATCCTTCTAACATCTCAACTGACACTGACACTTTGTTTATATGTGGTTAATATAAAAGAGAACTGACCACTGAAATCCCCTCTTTGATGACTCTTAATTCAGTCCTTGAGATATTTTTCATAATCAGAAAGTGTGGAGCTTTTCTCTGTTCTCTTGAATTCAGAAACCTTCTCAGACTGATGCAGTGGGAGCAGGACTGAGTCCTAACTTGCCTTTATTTGTTAATTTCCTTGTGAAAGACAGCACTGATCTGGAAACATTTTTCTGGGCTACATTTTTAGGCTGATTTTCAGTCCCTAGTGAGTGCCACACATCTGAAAGTTTTCAAAAAGATGAATCTGTGTTTACACTGTGTGCCTCTCTTTGCAGCATTATTATCAATTGAGGCTCCTCACTTTAGATTCAAAGTGGGAATACTTGATTAAGGCAGAATGTTTAGTTGAAGTATGCAGGTATAGAAAGTGTAGTTTATGCTCTATTTAAGGAGAACTTAAAAAAAAAAAAATCTAGTCAGGTAATGGCTGTTGTCGCTGCCTTGGCTTTTCCCTGCACTGAATTAATTAGTTTGGCTCCCATCAAAATAAAAGGGAATTCAACATGTGGAGAGATTGATTAAAAAGTCCCTAAACTGACTTTGGCTATATTTGCTCTGTTTTTATCTGTAACTTTGCTGCATTGTTACAGTTCAGAGTGGAAGTAGTTTAAAATTTTTCTGCTCCAAGTTGTGGCCAGGGAGCACCACAAATTCAACCCGACCTCAACCCGCACGTAGCGGGGCCGCTGCCTCGTGGCCTTCAGGCAAGCACCGAGGTCCAACCAGTTTGCAAGATCACAGCCTAAAGCAGTCAGAAAATTCAGAGTAAGGAGCAAATTTGGCCCTGCTGGGAGCCCAGTTGCTGCAGAGGTGTCATATCTGCTTAGGTAAGAGCTAAATTCATACTGCTTTAACTGAAGAGCAGATGAGAAAGAGCTGGATTTTGACTCCTTGCACCCCACAGCTCCCACCACCAAGCTTTAGGTGCCTAAGAGGGCAAACCTAAATCTTCTGAATTTGGTGGGATATCACTTTTTCAGGAGCCCAGCTGAATGTGGATGTTCACCCTGGAAGATTATTTTCAGAGGTACGGAGGAATAAGGGGCCATTTTCAACTGTTTTTAGCTGGGCGCTGTGGGAATGAAGATCCTGGGTATCAGTTTTGCTTCTGATTATTTAGGCTGTAAGTATTGATTCTTCCAAATTCAGCTTTGAGTAACTTCCCTCTGAAGTCAAGTGAAACAAAATACTGAAAGTGGGATCCTATTCCATCATCGAGAACGTGCTGGGACTGAAGGTTACATAGCCAACTGCATTTTGTTTTCTAGTTATAGCATCTTATTATTACTAGTATTTGTGCCTTGCTCACTGAAATTTTCTCCATGCTACAAAGATGCTTTTTCAGATTCTGGCTGACAAGGGAACACAACTTTTATACAAGTGGCCTTTAGTGCTCTTTATAATATTATTTATTGTAATTTTTAAACAGTATGTGTAATTTCTATTCTGGCACTGTCCAATATTTGAACAACTTTAATATGTTTATTTCAATATATTATGCAAACAATACTTCTTAACTGATTTTTTTATGTTCTGTCTTTAAAAACTGCACCACTTATTAATAAATAGAAATTTCAATTATGATGTGGATGGATTT